GAGGATTCGGCTCAGGACATCGATGACCCAGCGGCTGACAAGTTGAGTATGAACCGATTGTTATTGGAAATCACCTTCCCTGGGTGCAATTCCGTATTACCCACAACTTTAACCATGCACTGCAGGGGAAGACATGAAGGATCAGCTTGCATTTTCTGCCCCGTTGTGACCGGCTACAGGTTTCAGCGCACAGAGCTGGAGGATCAGGAGGGTTAACTTCCGGCATCAACTTGCTCCGGATTTTTGGTCACTTCAAATCATCTAGATGACAATTTATTAGACACCGACGGACATGATTTTTAAGAAATAATTGCATCCATCCCACCAGATACGTGAAAAACAGACTGAGATGAACAGAGAAATCGTGGCCTTGAGAGACTCCAAACTTCGGCTTTTATCAAAACTACGGGCCGAGGCGAAGCAGTTCCAAAGGGTCCGGGGTCTTCTGCCATCCCATCTCCAGCGCCTTCCGCCCCCTCTACCAACGATACGTCCAGAGGAAATCCAGGACAAGATACCGTGCACCCGACGCATCCTGGAGAAATACAGGCTGCTGAGGGACCAGAGGTGCCCAAGCCACATTTGAACGATCACCACATCTGTGGTTAAAGATACTGTTCTTCAGAGTTTCGTTCACGGGGAAGACATGAAGGATCAGCTTGCATTTTCTGCCCGTTGTTACCGGCGACAGGTTTCAGCGCACAGAGCGGGAGGATCAGGAGGAAGGCAGAGATTTGCTCGAGCCACTGGAAAATGAGGTGGGAGAAACGGAGGGAGTGGGAGATGCGGCACTTTTATTTGCAGCCATTGAAGAAGGAGAAGAGGAGGAGCCCGAAGGAGAGGAAGCAGCAGAGCTGAGCGAGCAGAAGGAGAGCAAATTGCTGTCCATGCAGGATTCTATCCTAGAAAAGGTCTTTCCATATCGTTTTATTTTAGACCGGGCGTTATTTCATTCAGCAACTTGCAAACATATTTTTGAATCCCTAGATGGAGAGCATGGTTACTCAGTTTGACAAAGAACACTTGACGTGCCTTCAAAAGGCGCAGATGCTGGACTGGAGGCTAAAACTTGGTCACCTCCGTCAGCTCACACTCTATCAGGAGCTGCTCCTCCTCGAGGAGGTGGACAAGCGTGAGGAGATTCTCCAAGAGAAGGTTGACGCACGTGTGAAGGAAGAGAACAACTTGATGGTGGGAAAATTCTCGCATTTTCTGTCATACATTTTTTTTTTTTTTTAATCCAAAATTGGCTTTATTTATGACATGATTTCTAAATCCACTTCAAATAGAGTGTTGACGTTACCTCATGCGGACTTTGCATTTGTTTCAAACTTTTTTTTT